ATATGATAAGATTGATAACTAAGTTGAGCACGAAGCTCCTATCTAATGGCAGACATGCCAGTCTTATATAGAACCTTCATGTTCCTGTGCTAGCTTGCTAGCCCAGTCGCCCTGTCGCTGCAAGACCGCGCGACCGGTCGCCCTGTCTAGCACAACTAGTCACGTGATACGAATGGAATGAAATCCCTGGATCGCTTAGCTAGTCTAAGCGTCCCTATTTGCTATAAGAGATATGATAGTGCTCGACCTGTCAGGACACCGCCTGGTCTTCACTAGTCACATGCTTGCACGTGATTCGTGACACTAGACTAACTTTAAAAGTCGAAGAAGGCTATACTCGATAATATACCAACTAAATAACTAGCTATTCCTAGTTCCTTAAATAATATAAAACAAAACCCTATTTTATATAAAAGAAACTTTATAATATCCTTCTAAAAAAACTTATTTAATATCCTCCTTCCTTACTCTAATCTCTTGTCACGAATCACGTGCTCACGTGATACTTGTCATAATAAGAGGCGCAACCCTCGACAGGTATCTTATAGCAAATAGGGATCGTTTGGGGTAGCTAAGCGATCCAGGGATTTCTCTTGTATGTAATCACGTGACTAAGACTGGACCGCCAGGTCGCCTAGCGATCTGGCTATCTGGACCGCCAGCTCGACAGGCGAGTTGACGGCCTAGGGAGATATACCTAGACTTTTAATCCTAGTAGTAAATCCTTAACTTTATTTAAAGATCTATTTCGTATATTAAAGTATCTCGAACTTAGCGTTTAGCTTTAATCTTATATACCTCTATTATAGCCTTTCGAAGTATAGTATATTACTAAGTAACTGTTGTGCTGGGTCTACTTTCTCTTTTGCTCCACTTTTAGTTCTGCTGCCTAAATGCTTCATGTCTGCCTAAACCTTACACTCTTTATATAAACACCTTAGATAGCTACCTTCTACAATGCAATCAATTCTCCATGACCTTCAGTACCCAATACCCTTTCAACCCAATAGTTATGAGCCCGGTACTATTAAAATAAATGAAATCAAACATATCAGATCAGGATAGATCATTCGGCAGAGTGAGGTCCACGTGGGCTCTTTGACTGTCTCCCAATCAGCTTGAATAAGGGATCTTTCCACGGAGGTTTTGCACGAACGAATTATTAGCTGGGAACATTTCGGGGGACGATAAAAAGACAAAATGGCGTGGCTTTTACCAAAAACGGTAGATTACTATAACGTATATTGCTTATAGATTATTTTCAGCTAAATCTGTAATTTAGTATTGAGAATGTGAGTGGAGAATAGTGCTTAGGGGGTCACAAGGCCAGTGACAATATAACATGCTACATTACAAGAGTTTACCTCCCCTGTCGCGAATAGATACTGAAACATGGAGAAAATCAAAAGTCAGTAGATAGATTTCACATGGGTTTACACTTAATCATAATCAAAAGATAAAAATAGAAAATTGCTCATTAATTTTATAAGAAGCGACAACTTAAGAAGCGTTTAGGGTCTAAGAGAGGTATATGCACAGACATAAGGGTAGTTCTAAATAGAATCCTTTCGACCTAAGTTCTAAGATTTCTTCCCAGAAAACCACTTTGCAGCCGTACCAATAGCGCCCAATCCGGCCTTTTTCCTGGACTCTACTGCCGCAATCTTTCTTAGTACCCCTTCCTCAATCAGTCGCAGCTCAATCTTTTCCAACACATCTTCCTCAATCTTTCTCACCTCCTCTTTCTCTCGCTCCTTCTCCAACTCCGTCTCCAACCTTCTACTCTCCTCCAGAACGGGCTCCGCAAGCCCCTTCAGGAGGTTATCAAACCAGTCAAAATCCTTCTGCGCTGCGACCATCTTCTTTTCTGCTTCTTTAACTGCATCATCATAATCATCAAAATTATACATCTGGGGGAAGCGGTCTAAGAACCAGAAGTTCCTCTTGAGAGATCGATATTCCCCCTCTTGCGCCACGGTGCTCTCTTTACAATCGTCGAGTTTGTTAAGATGCGCGGTAGTGAAGATGAGCAATGTCTCTTTTGGAAAGATCTCGAAGAATGGCTTTTTAGATAGCTCTTCTCTCTCGGCGAGCTCGGATGGCGAGAAGGGTGGTAGGAGGGTTTTGGCGGTGGTGTGGAAGGTATGGAGAATGGCGTGCCATTCTTCAGTCGATCGTTCAAGCGAGGCCTTATAAGCTTCGGTCAGATGAGGGGGGGTGTGGTTGAACGGGTCGGAGCTGATTTTGTCCAAGATTTCGTGGTGGTTGAGGATGTGGTTGCGGGTTTGAACTGCGTGAGAGAGGTAGCCTGGCATGAAATGAGTTAGTATATCTGGATTGAATCCTAATTCCACGAGTGCTGTAAACCCGTCGATGGATCTGTCGTGCGCAGGTGGACTTTTTAGCGGATGCGTTTCTGGAAGAACAGGCTCTTCGTCGATGGTCTCAAGTCTGTCAGACATCTTTATTATACTTGAATATTTGTACCTGTAAGATAAGTCAGCTATGTTTGACTTAGAAGCTCGGGTTGTTGTGCCTCGACGGTAACACCAGGGGCACTATCTTATATACGTCACAGGTTAAGCGAGGGTCACTGTTCATATAAAGGCACAAGATCCCGGGAATCAAAGATAATAATAGGAACAAAGCAGCGGGGTCTTTGTATGCATGGCTCGAATAGGAAAATAGTTGGCGAGAGGGCAAGGGTGATGGTGGGTCCTTTATTAAAATACAAGAAATCAATACCCTTGTTTGGCACACAAACATACTTCGGTTTATGTAAGTAGTCAGAGATGTCCTCGCTGAACTGCTTACATATGGATATATTGTAGCGAAATGCTTAGTGTCGGGATATCCACTCTTAGGAGGATATCCGATATGAGTCACTTGAGACGTGAGATTGTCTAAGACACCACACAACACCATACGATATATCCTTAGCTAGTAAAGTACACTCCTTTAGAACGATATACGAATAACAAAGCGATATGATATCCCGTATCCCCACACTAGTATTTTGAAACCAGCACTTAGAATTATATGATTCATATCCTCCGAAACATCAAGGATAATTACATCTCAAAATTGTCAATTATCCTGCTTGGCTCGAATAATTAATTCATTCAACACGTTTCAAGCCATCTTACGCAGTAAATTTTAGATTTTACGATGAGCCTTTACTTCATTCTCATTATCAGTAGATAAGTCTCTACTGTACTCATGAGTAGAAGAAATTCAAATCCCCATATGTTGGTTACTCCAGACCGAAAATAATGAGGATAGGTAATGTCTAACTTGTTTTATGTATAGGGCTTATGCCCTTCAATACTAGAATGTAAAACTCGAGAAGGAGGGGAGAAAATGCAATCTACTAGTAACTGATTGTCAAAGGAACTACGAGAGAAGCACCATATCTCATTCCCGATTTTGCATCAAAACCTCCACTAACACGCCCTGACCGCCTTGCACCCTCTTACAAGCTTCTTGAAGTGCTTTCCTTGATTCCCTCACTGTGCTCACACGCACACCTTTCATCCATCCTCCCGCCAACTTACCAGACCACGAACCGGCGGCAGCTTAAGCCAGAGCAGCGTAGTCTGGGGAAGGATTGAAAGATATGTTGAGTTCCTCATCCGTAGCCTCCTTGTTCGAGCCATCAGGATAGACAAGCGCGGTAGAGTTCCGCGGTGCTTTCCAGCCTAGTGGTATAAAATGGTTAGAAGGCTCTCAGGTGTTAATTGGTAGATTGAGCTTTCGCTTACCTCCGTTATTAAGCACCACCGTTAGCACTGAAATCTCATACTTTCGTGCTACCCAAGCAGCAATCGCTGGCGCCGAGCACATGTAACACCCATCTCCAACCACCTGACACACTAGGTCCTATTTGTTTGATTGTCCCACTTCTTCCCACGATTTTGCCAGGTCCTCCATCGCCATCTCGACCCCGAGAACGGCACCATTGCTCCAACCTATGCCTGTCGAGCTACTGTTAATCCAGCTTCCTGGTCGGTCACATTGCAGCTGGTTAGAAAGGGGTTTACTGCTTGAGGCTACTTCCACAACGAAAGTTGTGGAAGTTGGAAGTGACGTTTTAAGTAGGCTACCAACGTTGTGTGCTGTTAGAGGCTCTCCATCAGAAAGAAGAGCAAGCGCAGAATACTTATCAAGACGACTTTGATGGCCTTCTTGTAGTCTCTCCAACCTGGCGGTATATTTTGGGTCTTGAAGTGTCTCTTGAACCGAGGCATTTTGTCGTATGTATTCTATGATTTGGGCCAGCGCCTCATAGCTATCCGCTCTCCAGCGGTCATTTGCTGGAAAAAAAGACATGGGAAATTGCTGCTTCAATGGGTCGATATCAATGTGATAGATGCGGGCATCGATCGGGGGCGGGTTACGAGAGGGAATCCATGGCACATCGCAATCCAGGAGCAATATTACATCTGCATCGCGCGTGCAGTCGTCCATTGCAAGTGAGAAGCCCACAAACGCGCGGTGCGAGAATGGGAAGCAGACGTCGCTTCCTAGACTGTCGTAGATACGTAGGCCGGGAACGAGGTCGGCAAGCGTAACCAGTAATTCTGGACAACGAGTATCGCGACCCGAATATCCTGTGATAAGGAGTGGTCGTTCAGCATTGACGAGAGCATGCGCTACCCGATGGACCGGATCCATGGGTAAGGAACCGGGACCAACCGGGACCCATTGATCTTGTCCCTGTGGGAGAGAGTATGGCTGAATGACTTCCGCCAATGTCTCTCAGGCACTCGCAAGGTACACAGGGCCTTTTGGTGTGCTACGAGCAAACTGAAGCGCGTGTGCAACGGTTTGTTTGATATTCAATCCTGTGCGTATTTCTCCAGTATAGCGACAGTATTGCCGCACAATTGACTTCTGATCCGGCGCTTCCTGTAGCCAATGCATGTACTCGGTTCGCGAGCCCTGAAGTTCCCCCGCTTCGGTAAAGGGGCAGAGGCCGGCAAAGATCAAGACCGGGGCACGACCAATACTGGCGTTATGAAGTCCATGTGCAAGGGCTTGCGTTCCAACATCCACATGCACAATGACCGCTTGGGGAAGATCCGTAATGCGGGCATAGCTATGAGCCATGGAGATGGCTGTGATCTCTGAGGGACAGGTGATCATCCGTGGCCATTTATCTGGTTGCTCTCGCTTCCCCTTAACGATGGCCTCGATGATAAAGGGATGGTCAGAGCCGAGATTTACGAAGCAATTTCGCACTCCTGACTCCCATAGTGCCTCGAAGAGAGCAAATGCAGAAGTGTACCTGACAAGTATGTTAGCATCTAAGACCACTTCTAAGTTTGTGATTATATCACAGAAACGGCGTGGGGTAAGTTACGATCCATTGGTCGTGGTGGGGGTGGTCATCATAGCGAGGTTAGAGGAGTCAACATAGTGTTTGGAGAAGCAGTTGATTGATTAGATGGAGAGGTGACATTTTTATATATAAAGGTTCATACTTGAGGCAGATTTCCAACACCAATAGAGATCAAAGGTTATGTTGGTCTTACTAAGACCAACCGCCCTATGCATGAGAGAGTTGGCAGTAAAAACATAAATTCAGCTCGTCCTTTCTTCAAAATGTGATTCACAGCTACTGTATTGATTACATGTGAAAGTGAAAGTTGGCTTCGCTCATTAGAGATATAAATATTTCTTATTTTGTAGTCGATGTAGGTTGTGGGGTATTATGAAATACGAGTTGAGGTGGAGAGGGGTCCTCAGTGCCACTCAGGGGTACCGAGTAATGGTCGCTCACAAAGATACCCCGCAGTTACCCCGCAATTTTCAGTTTCTTTCACCACTTGAACAACCTCAACTTGGGGAGTTGAAAGATGTCCTCGAAGAACTATCCTTGTATATCCATCGTACTTCATGTATCCGCATACAAATAGCCTTCTCCAACTTTAGTACGACAACGTGGTACATAGATCAGAGCACTAAACAACAACCTTTAGTCGGCATATTTGACTGAAAGCACCAGTATATACTGGCTAAACAAAAGACAAAGGCGATAAGTGATAACGTACCTGAATGTAAATTCTTAAAGTTTTTCTTCGGAAAGTCCAGCAGTCTCCTCATACTTCTCATTTCCCATCGTATCAGTACTCGATTCGACTAGAGAAGAGTTTGAAGCATCATCCTCACCTCCAATTTGAGACTCAGAAGGCTTGTAGCCAGACTCGGTGTTATTCGCCGATTAGTTGCCCTTGGCTCTCTTGGAATCCTCCTGCTTGCGATATTCGTCAACTCTCCCGCGAGCAACCTTGAGATACTTGCAGTCCGATATATAGTGCTCAACAGCACCACAAAGCGCACAAGAATCATCCTTCACATCTCCGGAACTCTCTGACCCTCGCTCAAGCTTGTGGCGAGTTGATTAAGCCTTGGAGCCGTTGTCTCGCGAAGATCCACGTCCACCTTGGCGAGCAAGTAATCCTCCCTCTTGTAGGATTTGACCAAACTGATCTCCTTTTCGGCCAATCTCTGAATCTTATACTCAACATCGCTTTTCTTCGCCGTATATTCATGGTCAGAAAGTGTTGTTCGATAATCGGGTATCTTGGTGAGTAGTATAAAGAGAAACGAATTTGTAATACAAAGTCCCATTTGAACATCAAGAGACATGAGTGTAACTCGATGGCCCTTCAACCGCTGCCAGGCATAAATAATGCTCTCCTCGTCTCTCTTCTCAAATTTTTATATTTCAATTCTATAGTGATTTGGTCATGGGCGGTCGAATCTACCGTATTGCTTCTTCAAGTGTTGCCAGAACCTGTGGGCTGTACAGTGCTCTTTGAAAGACTCCTTATCATGTTGGCACAATCTATCTCCCCGAAGGAGATTTGAAATTACTCTTCCATTAGCCTCCTCATACACCTTCTTCTTGTTTCCGTTGTGGACGATAGGTTGCTTCATAACCCCCCTGCTGTCGACTTTGCCAGCATAATGGTCCAAAGTGTTCTCTGTCACAAATGAATCCCCTTCTCGTATGATGATTTCCTTCATGTTCATGAACCAATCGGCATGATTGTCTTTGTCCAAAGTTCCAAACCCTTCATTATAGCTTCTCATCATATTGTCGGCGGTGGACATGTGGTAGCAGGTAACAGTGTCAGAGTATCACTAGTAGTATACAAGGACTCTTTAAGAATACTGTCAGGCTTGCTCGTAAGGAGTGAAAAGATCTAAATGGGAGGCATTACTCATACTCAACTCGAGTTCAGTCTATCCCCAATCAGGAAACTCCTACCCCGTACTCCTATTCACTAAGCGAACGAACCGGTATTTCCTATGCCATTCTTACCCTCGCAGCAAGCTGGGAAAGAAAGGTCGTGTCTCGTAGTACTAAGAAAATGTTAACAGATCACAATTCACCTTTAGGCGACGGTAACACAGTGAAGTCCTGTAGGTAAGCGCTATGCACTATGTACCATGCCATGTGTCAACATCTGCTTGTAGAATGGGGTGTGATTTGAGAGGATGTCAAGAATTGGTATTCTGAATTGAAGTAGCTACTAGACGAAAAACGACTCGAGCTTCGAAGCCACTCATATGGAGAGCTACGATAGCAAGAAACCATTCTTAGAATAGTAGATTAGTTCGCGCTACAATGGCAAGTCTACATTAGCGAATTTGAGCGTCTTAGTATCTGTTATGGTGGGGATCAAGGAATAGATTGTTCGCAAGGAGGGAAGAGAGACGCTCTTCGCACTCCTTAGATATTTGTCTATCTACGGAAGGGTACACCCGCAACTTCGCTAAGCGAACCCTTATTCACTAAATCAAAAACTGTCACAGTATCTTAGTATCGACCCGCAACTCTCCTAATTCCCTAGTACACTAGTGACAACGGTGCCAAATCCCATTCAAGTCACCGCTGTTGATTGCATGTATATCTTGTATAAAGAGGGTGCTTGTGGCATGCTCCTAGGGTACCAAGTTGGATTGGGCAAGAGAGGGGAACATAGTCTCTTTTACATACAGGGTAAGCTACTTAGACTTTTGGAGATACTGAAAACTCTAATGGAGAATAATTTAGTGAGTGTATAATTCCCTTCCTAATATGGTTGCTGTCATATGTAGCTAATCATGATTGCTTAAGAACTAGCTTAACAATTGAAAGTCCTATAATGATAAATAGATCATAACACATACACATAGAGGCTACTAGGCAGAATTTTATTCAACTTCCTTTATACAATTAGATCATTAATGTGAAGTTTCTCCAAATCTTATTAACCCGAGAAAAACTACAATATGTTCAGATCCGTTCTCTTTTCATTACGAGGTTAATAAGAGACATACCTCAATAAAGAAGGGCATCTATCTTTTAAAGCTAAGATGCCATGAACTAGCAGTACCTGTCGTAGCAATAGTAATGTAATACCCGAAATACTGTTTGCTTTCACACATTCGTTCACTACAAATCACATTACTATATTAATATAACTTTATTAGTTTAAATTCACGCAAACATAGGTAGCTAGAAATCTACAAATAGAAATCTCCTGTAACCAATATTTACATAAGAGTCCTTATCACTTTCCACATTTCTTAATACCCAAACCTTAGTAGTTTATCATTTCTCATCGCGGTATATCAGTATAAACCAATAATCAAAATAAGCTCGATCTTATACATTTCACTAGAATATCCTCAAACTTCCATCTAACGAACCTACAAAAGCAAACTTACGACTAAATTACTCTTGGCAGCTGTCCAGCAAAATCATATTCACCCACCTTTTGACATCGTAACAACGATTTCCAATTCACCACTGCTATATATGCCCTAGTCCTAGCATGTCAGTCGCTTGATCTCGTTAAATTGGCACTGCCACAACCATCTACCCCCTTACCACCAAGGTTTTTGACACTTCAACAGCGCCAAAGATACTCCGCGAAAATTACTACAATACACAAAATTCCAACACTAGAATCTGTGGTAGATCTTTCTGCAGCAAGTTGTACAACACCATCAGCCAACATGTACTACCTACCCTTCCTCTCGCCTAAAAAGCCAAAGCAAGATGTCTCATCTGCGACAAAGGCCCAAGGCACCAAGAACCACTCCCCTCAAAGCGAAGGTTCTCCCACCTTCAGCGCATCTCCAACTGAGACACCATCAGAAGAGGATAATATCCCAGACTCCCCCCTCCTCTCAGGCTCCTGGCTAGACATCAGCCCCGAATCCGACGCCTACACCCTCGGATCCCACCAAACCTCTCACTTCCCCCAAGACGCCCAAGACTCCAAACCCCACCGCCCCCTAAGCATAACACGAAAGTTCTCCTGCTCAAGCTCAACCTTCGAACTCCTCTCCCACAGCGCAATCCAACACGAAATGGAACTAGACGCCGAAGAAGCAGCCCGACAACAAGATCTCGAACTCCAAAAGCTCATGGAGGAAGAAGAGTTCCTAAGAAAAGATGCCGAAGCGCGCGCCGCGATCAGGAAACAGGACAGAATTCAGCGGGAAAAGGATCTAGAGGGGGGTATGTGTGGATATGAACGGAATTGTCCGTTTGGTGATGGTGTTTATTTTGAGGATTTGATCCTGGGTGAGGATGGGAATTTGAGAGAAAGGACGGAGGAGGAGGCTAGGGTGCATAAGGCGAAGCGTGAGAAGGAAGCGGAGGAAAAGAGGGAGGTTGAGGAGAGAGTGGCGAGGGAGGCTGCGAGGGTTGAGGAGAAGGAGAGAGTGGCGAGGGAGGCTGCGAGGGTTGAGGAGAAGGAGAGGGTTTCGCGGATGAGGATTGCGGAGGAGATTTTGGAGGCAGCGGGGGAGGATGTCTGTGCGGGAGGGTGTTGGGGGTGTAAGAATCTTGAGCATGTCCGCGAGGCTGGTAACTCGTCTCAAGAGGGGCAGGTTGATGGGTCGGATGGTGATAATATTGAAGCTTGCTCTCCTACAGTTGAAGAGGCTTCCCCGCGGTCTTCAACCGAGTCCTCCTCAAAGTCTCATCACAGCAATCAGAACGAAGCGAAGGAGCAGACTAGCCCTACCACAGCCGCGACCTCGCCATTGCGTAATACAGTAACTCGTGTCATGGGTATGAAAACTACTGGCCTCACTCAGTTGTTTGAGAAGAAGGAGAAAGAGAAGGACATCAAGTAATAAACAGAGAAGAGTTGATGGGGCAGATGGGAGTGGGGCTTCTTAAGCGAAAGTCAAATTGTGGGTAGGGGGGATCACGGGATTCATGGAATAAGCGAGGGGAGGCGAAAAGTATATACAACCGTTACGATATGATAGCCATAGATGTGTACCACCAAAAAGAAATAGGCAAGACGCAGAGAGACTTTTCTGTTGGTAAAATTTATTGGCAGGAAAGGATGGCGAAAAAGAGAACTGCAGTGTATTTCTATAGACATTCAAGAATCCAAAATATTATTTTTCTCTGAGAGCAGACTTTTGTAACCATGATATATTTATAACATACAGTATACAAATATGTGTTAGTAGTCTTGTCTCCGCTGAACTCCTTAACATAACGCCCTAAACATCTTGTTGTAGTCAAAATACATACTATATGCTGCGCCAATTGCAAGCAATTACATCTCCTCACTCCTCCAATCCTCGTATGAACACTTCCTTCCCCCCTCCTCTTTACCTATACCATTTCCCTCTTCATACCTGATATTAATACTAACTCACATACCCATCACATCTACAAAGAACCAACATCCCCTTTTACCACATACCCACCCCAGAAAACCCCTAGTACCCCAATCTACTAACAAAGAAACAAACGCCACTTCACCACAAAGCCATAGCCACGCGAGCATTAATAAACAAAAGCCTCTTCACCACCTTACCAATAATACTCATTGAAATGTTATTACTAGTCAAGCTACTGTGCCCACCACATTTTCATAACATACGACGAGAAGCCAGATATACCACTTCACGAAATCACGGCGAACTCAAACTCCGGGTCTACGAATAAACACCATATACGAGTACGCGAGGAAATATAAATTTTCCACACAACTTACGCAGCTCAAGAAATAAGTCCGGGAAAACAATAACAGAGAGAAGGAAGGAAGTCATCAATCATACCAAACCCCCCCCCCCCNCCACAACCTCAATCCCAACCACACCCTCACCACCCACCCCCCCTTCCTCTTCCTCTTCCTCTCCATCAACAACCACCACCAAACCCTCGCCGGAGCCCGAAATCCACTTGGCCACCGGCCTTGCACCCCCCGGTCTAGGTACATCCAGTACCCCCGTTTTCTCACTCCTCGACCACGGAATTATCGGTAGTACCGAGATTGTTCGCGTGCCTGTTGGACGGGAACTTTTGAAGAGGGATGGGGGGAGGAGGTGGGGGTGGCGATGAGGTTTGTGTTGGAGGGAGGTGGTGGGAGGATGGGGGGGAGGGAGGAGAGGGGATGTAGTACTGTAGCTAATGGCTATCTTACCCGACATAGTAATTACTTACCTGAGTCGGAAATCCCATATTCTCCTCTCTTCCCACAAACAACAAGCAAACATGCAATAAAATCAAAACAAAACAAATACTTCAATCAATATATTTGAAGAAGAAAAAAAACTAACTACCTACCTCCGCGTATCCCTTTCTAGCGTAGCGCTAACCTACTAACTCCAACTAATTAAATAACCCCCTTACCCTAACTCAAGTACCTACCTATTTAACCAAACTTAACTTAATTTAAAAACTTATTCTAAACACTAAATACTAAACCAATAATATCTAAATTTCAAAATCCCATTTTTTTTTATTTATTTAATATATATACTATTATAATTTATCTCCTCTACTAACTCTAAGTAAGAGTAAGATTACTCTAACTAATAACTTAACCGAAATCCCCGTATCATAAGATATCGGGATAAGATTCCTAGTTCTAGTTCTAGTACTAGTTCTAATGTTATTTATTTACTAAGGTACCTAGCTACCTAATAAGTCTAACTTACAAAGTAAGATTTATAATAAGTCAAAAGTAATAAGTTTATGCTTGGTTCCAACTACTCGATCTAAGGAAAGAAGTCTATCTACTATTCTATTTACCTATACGATGAAATTATAAATATACTATACTTCTAGTTCTATAATAGTTTAGTACCTACAGTACCCGTCGGAAAGTCTAAGCCATTTAGCCGAAGTACACCCAAAAACGACGATTTGCCTAGTTTTTAATAGCCTATAACTTTACGTTTTATTAATAAAAGCTTTATCCCTCTTATTTACTTTTAGTTAAGTATATTACTAGTACTCCTATATAGGTGTGTTAAGTTATAAAGAAAGTCTTTATTAGTAAATATTCTAATGCTCTTGAGTTATCTATTTTAGTACCAAAATCGGGCCGAATTTGGTGTAAAATACGTAATTTGTAATAATAGACTACTTTAGATCTATTTTACTTAATACTATATATTATCTAACAAAATCGGAAGAGACAGAAAGGAAGGAAACGTTAAGATAAAGAGATTTTATGAAGGACTTTATGTTTATAGATGGTCTTTTATGTTTTTTCTATAATTGATTATACCGAGTTTTAGTATAAAAAGGGCAAATGGCTTAGACTTTCCGCCTAGTACTGTACCTACCTATATCTCCTCCGTCCCCTCGAATACGTTTCCCTTCTAGATATAAATATACGCTCGAAGTAGATATACTATAAGTATAGTAGATATAATAACCGAATTAAATCGGGGCTTAAATCCCTAGAAACGTACCGAAGCTAGTTAACTAAAGCCTACTCGAGTAAATAACTTGAACTTATAGAGAAAATGTTAGAGAAGTAGATAGGTAGGTACCCTATGACTCTACTTTATCTTACAAGTTTCTTTTTTTTGGGGGGAGG